TAATATGGGGCTACTGCTAGTTGCTGAGTATGTCTATTACAATTATGTATTCTGGAATTAGGGAAATAACCACAGGACGAGCTCAGGAACCCACTGTGAGATAGACCTGAGCTAAAACTCCATTTATCACTTGACTTTTATAAGTCCCTGCTCTGACTAGTGGACCCCAGCAATGTTTGGGTCTTTTAGAATTAGCATCAGTTCAGAACCAGTGTCTAGTAATCCCCAAAAAGTCTGATCCCTTTCCCCAAGTGACAGAGAAAAACCTAAGACTGTATAGAACATTCCCCCACCAACTGGGAAGGAGCCAAGAGGCAAGAATGACTCAGACAAGTCCAACTTAACAAGTAGATGAGTTTATTAGGATTCACGTAAGGGGCACTCCAGGACAGCTCTGGAGATTTGCCCTGTCCTCTATCTCTAAGCTGTTTTTAAGCTAACTTTATGACTCTTTGCCTACTTGGTGTGTGTGCAATGAGACTGTTTTGCTTGGTATGTTCCCCATTAGGCTCAAAGGCATCTGCTCCACTGCTGGGCACCATGGCCTTGGCTCACTGCCTGGCCTTCAGGGCTCAACCAGTAGATATATACCCTTAAATAACATGGTGGGGGACCCATCACCCTATACCAAAGCAAATGGTCATAGGTCCCATTGGGGAAGGCTGGAAGAAAAACATTAAAATGTGAAGGAGACACGGCTTCTCTTTCGTTCAGGAGATTCTGAGTCTATAAACTAGCTTATTTCTAGGAATTGATTAAGGGGCCGTGGCTCTCTTTGGGTGATTCAATTTACACTTCTGCTTACTAGACCTAGAGTTCTTCTGCTTATACAAGTCAAGTAAAAATTGAGTAGACTACCCATCTATTTCTTTTCTAGGGACACCATGATCAACTAGCCAGCGCCATAGGTCTCTGCAAGTCAGACTATTCTGATTACTGCTTTGGCTCCACTATCTATTACGGTAACCAAGCCCACCTTGATTTGGCATTTAAGTACTGCTATTTGGCCCCTGCCACCTGGGATCCCCTTATCCCCATTTCATTTAGGGATCCCAGTTGATGGTAGCAGTTCCTACTATAAATTATGACCTACATAGAAGAGCAGCCACAGAGCAAGGATGCTGGGCCTTGCCTCACAAATTGAGGGTGATTCAATTTACACTTCTGCTTACTAGACCTAGTGCTGGTGAAAAGTATGTTCTCTGACGCTTCCAGGATGACCAAGCAGGTCCTTCCTGATAAATCCACTTAACATTCCAATTTCCTCAAGCCTTTTGAAAACCTTCCTCTGCAATACACCAAGATGGCTGTGGCCTTTCAACTTCCTTTGATGGCACTTGTTTTCTATTTGTCCCATATGTTTTTCTCTCTTTTTCTTGCCTACCTCTGGATTAATCACTTTTTATCATTACTGGCCTTTTACTTTGCTTTTCCCTTTTAATGGTTGTTCTGGGGTTTACAGTGTATATCTTTTTTTTTTTTTTTTTGAGTTGGAGTCTCACTCTGTCACCTGGACTGGAGTGCAGTGGCCACTCCCGGCCACCGCAGCCTCGACCTGCTGGGCTCCGGCAATCCTACTGCCTCAGCCTTCCAAGTAGCTGGAACTACAGGCGTGCGCTACCACACCCAGCTAATTTTTTTATTTATTGTAGAGATGAGGTCTCACCAAGTTGCCCAGGTGGGTCTCGAACCCATGGGCTCAGGCAATCCACTCACCTCAGCCTCCCAAGGCGCAGGATTACAGGCTGAGCCACTGAGCCCGGCTTTACAGTGTATATCTTAACATATCACAGTCTGTTTTCAATTGCTATATCATTTCACATGTAACGTCGAAACTTAAAAGAATATACATTCTTTTTTCCCCATCCTTTGTGCTGTTATTGTAATGTATTTTACATCTGCATATGTTATAAATTCCCCAGTATATTGGTATTTTTGTTGTAGATAATTATATTTTAAAGAAATGTTAAAATGAGAAAGAGGTCTTTTTTCTGTTTACCTACATATTTGCCATTTTTGTACTTGTTATCCTTTGTAAAGATAAAAACCAAGCCCATCTGATTTGGCTTTCCTGCAACCTGAAGAACTTCCTCTAATGTTTTCTGTAGTGTAGGACTGCTGGCAATTAATTCTCTTAGCTTTTCATTTGTCTGTCAAAATCCATTTTCCACTTCATTTTTCTTATTTTTTTTTTTTCTGAGTTGGAGTCTCACTCTGTTGCCCAAGCCACTGCGGCCTCGACCTGCTGGGCTCCTGCGATCTTTCCACCTCAACCTTCCAAGTAGCCGGAATTACAGGCATGCGCTACCACACCCGGTTGATTTTTGATTTATTGTAGAGATGAGATCTCACCAACTTGTCCAGGCAGGTGTCGAACCCACGGGCTCAGGCAATCCACTCACCTCAGCCTCCCAAGGCGCGGGATTATAGGCTGAGCCACCAAGCCCGGCTCCACTTCATTTTTCAAAAATATTTTTGCTGGATATAGAACTCTAGATTGCTAGTGGTTTTCTTCGGGTACTTTATAAATGTCTCCATTGTATTATGGTTGCATAATTTCCGATGAAAAGTCTGTTGTTATTTTAATCTGTGCACTTCTATATTTAATGTGTTTTTCTCCTCTCTCTGACTGTGCTTAGGTTTTCTCTTTATGACTGGTTTTGGCAATCTGTTTATGATGTGCCTTGGTTTGTTGGGATTTTTTTTTTTTTGGCAAGGTTTCATTCTGTCACTCAGGCTGGAGTGCAGTGGTGAAATCATAGCTCACTGCAGCCTCCAACTCCTGGCTCAAGTAGTCCTCACACCTCTGCCTCCTGAATAGCCGGGACTGCAAGCGCATGCCACCATGCCCAGCCAATAATTGGTTTATTTTTTGTAGAGACAGGGTTTTGCTATGTTGCTCAGTCTGATCTTGAACTCCTGGGCTCAAGTGATCCTCCTGCCTCAGCCTCCCAAAGTGCTCAGATTACAGTTGTGAGCCACCACACCCAGCTGGGATTTTTTAAAAAACATTTGTTATGCATGGGGTTCACTGAGCATCTTGAATATGTGGGCTTATAGTTTTCATCAAAAATAAATACTTCTTTGGCTGTTATTTTTTCAAATGTTTTTCTGCTGGGCATGGTGTCTCATGCCTGTAATCCCAGCAGTTTGGGAGGTCGCGGAAGGAGGATTTGCTTGAGCCCAGAGTTCAAGACCAGCCTCGGCAACATAGTGAGACTATCTCTATCAACTAGAAATTTTTTTTCTATCTCTTTCACCTCTTTTTGGAGAGTCCAATTTCACGTATTAGGTCACATGATATTTTCCAAAAAATGAAACTCTGGGTTGTTTGTTTTCAATCTTCTTTCATTCTGGATATTTCTATTGCCATGTGTTAACTTAAAAGAGTATATATTCATTTTTCCCCATCCTTTGTGCTGTTATTGTAATGTATTTTACATTTGCATATGTTATAAATTCCCCAGTATATTGGTATTTTTGTTATAGATAATTATATTTTAAAGAAATGTTAAAATGAGAAAGAGATCTTTTTTCTGTTTACCTACATATTTGCCATTTTTGTACTTGTTATCCTTTGTAAAGATAAAAACCAAGCCCATCTGTTCTTTTCTTCTTCAGTATATAATCTACTGTTAATCCAATTCAATCCTGTGTATTGTTGTTGTTGTTGTTTTATCCTAGATGTAACATTTGACTCACTTTTATTTATTTATTTTTTAATTTTTAGATGGAGGTCTTGCTATGTTGCCCAGGCTGATCTTGAACTCCTGGGCTCGAGTGATCCTCCCACTTGAGCCTCCTGAGCAACTGGGATTGATTCACTTTTATATCTTTGATTTCTTCTCATTGTTTTTCTCTACTTTCTTAAACATATGGCATGAATTTGCAATAGACTTTTTCATATCATATCTGCTTATTCTTTCATTTTTTTCACTTCTGTTGCTGTTTCTATCAGTTGATTTTTTTCCTGGCTATGGGTCATTTTTTTCTTTACTTTTTTTCATCCGTTGATGGTGGTTCTTTACTTGGCCTTGGATAGTTTCCTCTCATGCATGAGCAGGACAATACTTGGCCAAAGTTTCAAGGCTCCCCTCTTTAGACCTCTGGAAATCTCCTTTTGAGTGGCAACTGCTCTCCAATGTTCTACTCCACAGATTCCAGTTGCCTAGGCCTCCCTTCAGGATTAGAACTGCATTAGGATTTTTGTGGACACTGTATACTTTTTCAGTTCAGAAGTTTTGAGACTTAGTTCTTTTTACTCCATCCCTACACAGGTTCAAAGTAAAGCAAATGTCTTAAGGGAGATTGGTTGTATATTTGTTGTGGGCTCCTCCCTCTCTTGGGTTTTTGTTTTTTGAGTACAATACTGAGTGAAATTGCTTTTTGATTCTAACCACCTCCTCCAGTGTGACTCTTGTAGACTTTTGATTGAGAGTCTGGGAGATGTCTGTTTTCACAGCCATGTAAGTTCTATTTCTTGATTTCTTTTTTTTTTTTTTTTTTGAGTTGGAGTCTCACTCCGTCGCCCAGGCTAAAGTGCGGTATGGCACGCTCCCAGCCACCGCAGCCTCAACCTGCTGGGCTCCAGTGATCCTTCTGCCTCAGTCTTTCCAGTAGCCGGAACTACAGGCGCACACTGCCTTGCCCAGCTAATTTTTGACTTATTGTAGAGATGAGGTCTCACCAAGTTGCCCGGGTAAGTCTCGAACCCACGGACTCAGGCGATCCACTCACCTCGACCTCCCAAAGTGCTAGGATTCCAGGCTGAGCCACCAAGCCCAGCCTTTTTTTTGAGCATAGCTCTTTAATCTTCTCCCCAAAGCCAGGTTTAAAATCTGACAAAGCACTTGACTGGGTAATCAGTTGCATATTTGCTGCAGACCCTCTTCTCCATAGAAGTACCTTAGGTACGAAACATCATGGCACATAGTTTTTTGCCTACCTGGGACTGGTCTCAATCTAATTCGCATTCATGTTTGTTGTGTTCATTATTACAGGACCAGGATTAAAACCTGCAGAAGAACGGACAATTGAATATCTAGAAGAAGTTGCAGTTTCTTTTGCCAAAGGACTAGCTGATAAGACAATCTCCCCAAAGAGAGACAAGGGATTGATGGAAAGTGAGTGTCATTGTTAAAGAGCAAAGGCAAAGCTTCTTTCCTGGGAATTTAATTTTATTTGCTATAGATTCAAAATGAGGAAAAAATAAATGCATTATTTACTCAAAGCATAAGGTCTGCCTTAAGGGATATAACAACCCTGCTGTAGGATCATCCTCTACCTTACATTAGTCAGTTAAAAACTTTTTATTTTGAAAAATTTTGAACATCAGTACAAAAGTAGAATAGTCAAACAGTGTAATAAACACCCATGTACCCAAGGCCCAGCTTTAGCATTTATCAACTAAGTAAAATATGTTTAAAGAAGTATTTAAGTTGAAATTTACATTGTGTGTATCAAAATAAAGAGCAGTTCTTTCAGGTAGCTTGAATTACTGCATTTTTATGGAATTTACAGAACAAACTAGCAAGAGAGTCTAGGCTCTTTCTAGTAAATATCTAAAAGCATTTTACCTTACAGAGTTGACAGCGTATGCCCTGACTATTCCATTTGTCAGGCAACAGATTTACAAAAAGGTGGAAGAAAAAGTGCGAAAGCAGACCAAAGGCCTTTATCCTGCACCTCTGAAAATAATCGATGTGAGTCTCACCCTACAGTCCCACCTTTCTCATATTTTCTCCCTGTACATAGAGCAATCCTCTATTACCATTCCAGACCATGTATGTTCAGTGCTAAATTTCTTAATTCTGCTCTCAAAGTGCTTACCAAAAATAAGGGAAGAGCATCATAGCAAGCTTTAAGGACTCATATAAAGTGATATATTTGGGGAAAATTGGTGTTGGACATACTCATTGGTTGATGAGTTTAAATCCAGGAAAGGAACCTCAGTCATATCAGTGTAACAAAGCCAGTAAAATATTGGGCATTAATCAAGAGTTAGTTTAAACAAAATTGATGACTGTATTCTGTCCATAGTCAAAATCATTGTCAGTACTTCAAATCCCTCAAGGACTTCTTCATTACTGTAATTTTAAAAAGGATGTAATAATGTAGAGAAATTTTGCAAAAGATCAAAGAGGTTAATTAAAATGATCACAAGCTGGGCTCGGTGGCTCAGCCTGTAATCCTGCGCCTTTGGGAGGCTGAGGTGAGTGGATTGCCTGAGCCCACGGGTTCGAGACCCACCTGGGCAGCGAGACCTCATCTCTACAATAAATCAAAAAATCAGCCGGGCGTGGTAGCGCATGCCTGTAATTCCAGCTACTTGAAAGGCTGAGGCGGAAGGATCGCCGGAGCCCAGCAGGCGAGGTTGCGGTGGCCGGGAGCAGCCACTGCACTCCAGTCTGGGCGACAGAGTGAGACTCCAACTCAAAAAAAAAAAAAAAATGATCACAGAAGTGAAGAAATCTCGATCTAATGGTAGGACTTTAAACTTAGAACTTTTCTGTTTGGAAAGTTAAAGATTAAAAGAGTTTCTAATTAAAGACATCAGAATTGCATCATAGGTCAGTCAACAAATATATTTTGAATGGAAGACACCAAAGTGCATTCATCTCACAGACTGAACTGTGGAGATTTGACACATGCATGTGGTAAGCAGATAACCAACAGTATAGGAGACATAAGGCAGCATAAGAGTAATGCCAGACAATTGGGATGGGAAAAAAGTTAGATGCACAGAAGAAGGAATAATCGCCTGAGCCAAAGAGATCAGGAAGATCCTTGTGGGAGCTGACCTGCACCCTGAAAAACAGGTGGAGGATAGTTGAAGGGAAAGTAGTGCTAGGTGGGGTAGGAATTTTGAGCAAAGTTACAGAAGTGGAAAACATGAGGCTCTTCCAGGAGCATTTAGTGAGACCATTTTTGTAGGGGACTAGGGAGATACCAGTCTAAAGAAAGGCAGATTGAAGCTAGACTTTAGAAGGTTGGCAGAAATAAACTGAGAAATTTTACTTTTGTCTGATATAGACAGTAGAGAGAACCACTGTCACGGTAGTGGGTAAAAACGGATTAGAAGACGGGTCAAAGTAGAGCAAGCTGTCTTGACAGTTCAGGTTTGAAGTTTGAATAAGACCCAGAGATAGAAGAGTAAAATATGTGAAAGTAGCAAGAGACTTCCTAAAGAGAAATTATGAGTTAAGTTCAGATATGTTGAATTTAGCTATTACAGGAAATTCAAGCAATAACAGTTTAGGAGGAAAAGTCCGAATTAGGGAGATCGATTTGGTTATTTGTGTGTATGTGTATGTTCTAATTTGTCAGTCTCATAAATTATGGTGATTGAGTAAAGGGTCATTTTTTCATTTTTTATACTTGCCATTGTACTTAGGATAGTACTTACCCCAAATGTTAAATTGAGTTTCATGGAGTTTAAGATTAGTATGATAAACTAGATCACACATTAAGTAAGAACACGTGGAGAAAGGAAAGGGCTGGAAGTGGAAGTTGAGGATCTCCTACCTTTGAAGAACAGGAAGGAAGCTGGAAGAGTAATTTAAGCTTTCTCTTTCTTTCTAGTTCCATTTTATGGCAGGTTCTAGCAGTAACCTCACAGATGGAGAATTAAGTCCATCTAGAGCAACCAGGCACTCAGTTCTCTTCTCGTTCTCACCCCACTCTAGACTTTTGGCTTACTCTCTGAGAGCTAACAACACTGGTGATTTTTTAGCATTATTGTACAGACTGTCAAAGCCTTTTTCTTTTCTTTCAGGTGGTAAAAACTGGAATCGAGCAAGGGACCGATGCTGGTTATCTCTCTGAATCTCAGGTAAAGTTATTTCCTTTCAATATTTTATCATGAGTTATAGGAAACCAAAGATCCAATACTCTGTATAAGGCTGAAAAAAGAAGAAAATGTTCAAAACTTTGCAAAAGTTACCCTTTCAAGAGCAGGTTAACCTTTCAAAATGAATGCCCTGGGCATTTTTTGTTCAATTGGGCTGGTATTGTCAAAACAAAATTAATACATTGATAAAAAAATTTTTTTTTTAAGCCCTAGAGAGGAAACTTTGAAGCCCACCTCTTTTTGGTGAATTAGAAAATGAAAGAAAGTGTTGTACTCAGAAAAAGACAAAGATAGAAGGGATATATGAACCAGTCTCATTCCTTCTACTTTTCTAGCAAGTTGATGTTATTGCCAATTTATGTGGCTTGGGTTGTTCTTAAGTTTTAAGCAACCAAGAATGATTGCTCTGTGATACAGGTTGAGTATCTTATTTTAAGTGTTTGGGACCAGAAATGTTTTGGATTTCATATTTTTCAAAATTTGGAGTATTTGTATATACATATAATGAGAGATCTTGGGAATGGGACCCAAGTCTAAATATGAACTTTATTTACATTTCATATACACCTCATACACATAACCTAAAGGTAATTTTTAATAGTTTTATATATGAAACGTAATTTTGACTGCAACATGTCACATAAGGCTAGATGTGTAATTTTCTTTTTCTTTTTTTTTTTTTTGTGTTGGGGTCTAACTCTGTTGCCCAGGCTGGAGTGCAGTGGCATACTCACAGCCAGCACAGCCTCGACCTGCTGGGCACTGGCAATCCTTCCGCCTCAACCTTCCAAGTAGCTGGAACTACTGGCGTGCCCCACCACGCCCAGCTAATTTTTTAATTTATTGTAGAGATCATCCATGTGCCCAGGCTGGTCTCGAATCCCTAGACTCAGGCAATCCTCTTGCCTGGCTTCTCAAAGTTCTGGGATTATAGGCTTGAGCCACTGTGCCTGTAATTTTCTACTTGTTGTGTTATGTTGGCATTCAAAAATTTTCAGATTTTAGAACATTTTGGATTTCAGATTTTTGAATTAGGAATGCTGAACCTGTAAGAGGACAAAAAATATCTGAAGTGCTCAGAACAGATACCAGAAAAACATTTCATGTAATAGATTGTTTATTATACATTTCTGATTTTTTTAAAAATATCATACCAGGTATACATAAACATATGTACAGAAAAATTGAAGCATACGTTTCATGATCATTCATGGTCCTCATTGTGTGCACTGTACTCAGTATTCTTTATGTAATCTATTTTTTAATTGATATAATGCTTATCACAACCCATTAAATTTATGACCATGGAAATATCTTTGATATTTTGAAAATCATTGGTTTATTGGCTAGAACATGCTGTATCAAGATTAGTAAGGCATTGATTCAATGGAACATTGTTGTACTATTAGGGATTCCTTTGAAATGTTCTTTGTAACCATATAATCTGATCAGTACATCTCAGTAATATTGATAATAGCTAAGAGACCCTATTCACTTTACTAGTGTTCTCATTTAATCCTCACAACAATATTATAAAATAGATATTATTTTTCCCCAAGAAAGCTTCACAATGGGGAAGTGGCAGAGCCAGAATCCAAACCAAATTCTGTCAGACCCAGACTCAGAATCTTATGCTTGAGACTCATTCTCCGCAAGTGTTGTGATACTTTTTGAAGTATTAGGTATCATGTGGGGCAGCCTGCTAGAGTGGAAAAAGAACTGGAGTTAGAAGTCTAACTGTTGACCAGGCTCCGCGGCTCAGCCTGTAATCCCGGCATTTTGGGAGGCCAAGGCAACTGGATTGCCTGAACCTGCAGGGTCAAGTCTAGCCTGGTCAACTTGGCAAGACCTCACCTCTATAATAAATTAAAAAAATTAGCCAGGCATAGTAGCATGCGCCTGTAGTTCCAGCTACTTGGAAAGCTGAGGCAGGATTGCCAGAACCCAGCAAGTTGACTCTGGGGTGGTTGGTGACTGTGCCACTGCACTCCAGGGTGGGCAACAGAATGAGACTCCAATTCAAAAAAAAAAAAAAGAAGTCTTACTGTTTGGGTTCAAGTTTCATTTCTGCCACTTTGAAGCAGTATGGCTTTGAACAAAGTCACTTAATTTCTCTGGGCCTCCTCTTCCCAGTCTTTAAAACGAGAGGATTGCTTTGAGATGATTTTGAAGGCTCATTTAAGGCTCATTCTATGAAAAAGGTTATCACACCTCTAATGTAAACGATCTGAGAGCTTAGTTATATCCAAAACTTTTTTCAGAGCAGTAGTCAGGGTGTTCTCCAGATGAGAAGACTAAAGATACATGAATGAGAAATAGACGTCTGCAGCACAGGCACCATTCAGACCCCCACCTGAGGAACTGAAGGTTTGCGTGTGTTACCTTAGTTCTGCAGAGACCTGAGGTGAAGGAATTCATCTCACCTAGACTGTGAAGTTCTACCTTCTCTTTTTCTCCTTTACTTTTCAGAAATTTGGAGAGCTTGCAATGACCAAAGAATCAAAGGCCTTGATGGGACTTTACCATGGTCAGGTCCTGTGCAAGAAGAATAAATTTGGAGTTCCACAGAAGGAAGTTAAGTAAGTGAAACTCCACCTGGGAAGCCCTTGTGGATTTCACTGTGTGCAAAGTTTACAGATGTCTTTGAAGATCTGCAGAGCTAGATTTATGTCTTAATTCAGTCTTGCCCTCAATCTCTATCCTGAGCACATTAGAGCCCTTATTCCTACCTAGAGCTTTTTGATTTTGAAAGTTCTGCCTATTCCAAGCCGGGTGCAGTGCCTCACACCTGTAATCCCAGCACTTAGGGAGGTGGAGGCGAGAGGACTGCCTGAGCCTAGGATTTCGAGACCAGCCTGGGCAACTTGGCAAGACCTTGTCTGTTCAATAAGTCAAAAAAATCAGCTGGGCGTGGTGGCGCTTTCCTGTAGTTCCAGCTCCTTGGAAGGCTGAGGTAGAAGAATCACCTGAGCCCAGCATGTTGAGGCTACGGTGACTGTGAGCATGCTACCCCACTCCAGCCTGGGTGACAGTGAAATTCCAACTCAAAAATAAAGGAAGTTTTGCCTGTTCTGAGTTTTCTCTAGGTACATCTAGTGACTCCTACAGAGGTTTTCTTGTCTCATATTGATGTCGCTTAGAAGTTTGCAGTAGGTCCCCCTTCCTCAACCAAATACACACCCTCTGCACTGTTTAAGGATCTTCACTCTCCTGTATATGAGATACCATCTCTGGGAACTCACATTTCTTCCTCATTAAAAAACATGAGACCGTACTGTAATTGTTAAAGTAGTTTCCTTCTTTTTGCTTAAACCCTAAGCATTGGAGATTCTGCTTGCCCTTTTCATGTCTATTCTCATCAGCAGGCTTTTTTCTTTTCTTTCTTTCTCTCTTTTTTTTTGTGTGAATCGTAGTCTCACTCTGTCACCCAGGCACAATGATCACAGCTCACCACAGCCTCAACCTCCCAAGTAGCAAGGACTCAGATGATGATCCTCCCAAGTAGCAAGGACTATAGGTACCACCGGGCCCAGCTGATTTTTTAAAATTTTTTTGTAGAGGCAAGGTCTTTCTATGTTGCCCAAGCTGGTTTCAAACTCCTGACCTCAAGTGGTTCTCCTGCCTCAGACTCACAAAGTGCTGGGATTATAGGCATGAGCCACCACACTTGGCCTAGCAAACCCCTTTCAATGTCTTGCTGCTTAATAACTCTTCAACGTCTTAAGTTTAATAATGCCCTGAACTCACCTTCCTGCTTTGTGGTTCTGAACCTGGATGATTTTGTCCCCCAGGGAACATTTGACAATGTGTGGGAATATTTTTTGGGTTGTCACAATCGAGGAGAAAGGGATGCTACTGGCATCTATCCAGTGGGTAGAAGCCAGGGTGCTGAAAAACATCCTGCGGTGCACAAGATAGCCCCCACAACAAAAAATTATCCAGTTCAAAGTGGCATAGTGCTGAGGTTGAGAAACTCTGTTCTAGTGGAATTACTGTGTGGAATTTTAAGCAAAGTCGCTAGTGTTACTACTGTCTGTATCCTCTTGCCTTTAATGAGATTACAATCCAAAATAGAAATGAAAATGGATAAGAAGTCTGGGTAACACAGATAAGATTCTAGCCAAGAGGGCTGATTTCCAAGTAGATTCTGAAATACAACCTTAAGTGTTTCTTACTCACACTTAGTGACCAGAATCAGTCTGGTCCAAAGAGCCTGTTGTATGTATTCTGCCTGACATTGATAGAGCCTTGCGTCTAGTGTATGGGATAGATTATTTCCATGGTCCAGTAGAGTAATTATGGCCACTTAAGTCAACATCTCTTCACACATTCTACAAAAATCAAGCAAATTTACAGAAGGAAAAGCAAAGCCACCTATTTTCTCCTATGCACAGCATAAGTAGAAGGCAGAGAATGCTGCTAACTTCTAATTATATGAGGGAGACTTTATTGTGACAAGAAAGAAAAGAAGCAAGAGAGAAAAATAAGAGACCTGCTTAGACACAGCAGCTCACACCTGCAATCCCAACACTTTAAGAGACTGAACGGGGAAGATCACTTGAGTCCAGGAGTTTGAAACCAGCCTGGATAACATAGCAAGACCCCGTCTATACAAAAAAATGAAAAAATTAGCCCAGCGTGGTAGTGCACGCTTGCAATTTTAACTACTTGGGAGGCTGAAACAGAAGGACCACATGAGCCCAGGAAGTCGAGGTTGCAGTGAGCTATGATCATGCCACTGCACTCTAGTCTGGGAGACACAGCAAGACCCCATCCCTATTTTTTTTAAAAAAAGGCCGGGCCTGTACTCCCAGCACTTTGGGAGACTAAGGCAAGAGAATTGTCTGAGCCTGGGGATTCGAGACCAGCCTAGGCAACTTGGTGAGACCTTGTCTCTACAATAAATCACAAAAACTAGCCAGGCATGGTGGTGTGTGTCTTTAGTTCCAGCTACTTGGAAGACTGAGGCAGAAGGATCACCTAAACCCAGCAGGTCTAGGCTGCACTGGCCATGAGCATGCCACTGCACTCCATCCTGAGTGACAAGAGTGAGACTCCAACTCAAAAAAAAAAGCCCTACAAAATCACAAACACTAGATACAACAATTTCTACCACACCCTTTCCTGCCACACCCTTTCACCCCCATCTTTCCATATACACAAAGAATGCTTCAGTTAAAGAAACTGCACTTTGCAACAGAAGAGGGTACTCTTAAATTAAGAAACCTAGTTAGCCACTCTAGACTCCTCTCCTGCCTATATATAGTTTTTAGTATATAATACTAAAATGCAGATTGTATACAGTACCCCCAGAGAAGATATTGTGTACTAAATACATAAAAAAGAAAGTCAGCATTTACATAAAGCTGATAAAAGAACAAAGACAATGAGAATCAAAATACTTAAGCTTATGAAAATTCTTCCCCCAAATTCTTCCTGCAATGCAGAAGAAACTATAACTGAACATTCCCAAACTTGAATTTTAAACATCCTAAAATAAGCATTTACAGATAAGTAAAAATCACCTTGAATCAAAAACTCAGAACTAAATGAACAGAAAGACCAGGTGATATGAGAGTTGACCTAACTTGGGAAAGAAATTGAAGAAAAAGGTACCTTCATCTTAGAAATGAAGAATAAACTATAAGGTACCGAAGGCAAAACAGATTGAACTGAAAATTTAATAAAGAACATTAAAGAAAGGGTGTCCCACTTCCTGCTTTCCTAGTTGTCAGTAATACTTTCACGTCTGTCTCTCTAACCCTCTTCCCCCTTGCCTTGGATAATAATTTAAATTTTTATCCATTTTTCTCTTTTTATAAATAAATCTTTCAAGCTGGGTGTAGTAACTCACCTCTGTAATCCCAGCACTTTGAGAGGCTAATGTGAGAGGATTGCCTAAGCCCAGGGGTTCAAGACTAGTCTGGGCAACTTGGCAAGACCTTGTCTCCACAGTAAATAAAAAAATTAATCAGACATGGTGGCACTCACCTGTAGTTCCAGCTACTTGGAAGGCTGAGGCAGAAGGATCACCTGAGCCCAGGATGTTGAGGCTATGGGGGCCGTGAGTGTGCCACAGTACTCCTGTCTAGGTGACAGAGTGAGAATCTGACTCAAAAAAAAAAAGGGGAGGTCCAGGCTTGGTGGCTCAGCCTGTAATCCCGCACTTTGGGAGGCCAAGGTGAGTGAATTGCCTGACCCTGCGGGTTCAGGACCCACCCGGGCAACTTGGCAAGACCTCATCTCTACAATAATTTTTTTTAAAAAAACTAGCCGGGCGTGGTAGCGCACACCTGTAGTTCCAGCTACTTGGAAGGCTGAGGCAGAAGAATCGCCAGAACCCTGCAGGTCGAGACTGTGGTGGCCAGGAGCGGCCACTGCACTCCAGTCTGGGCGACAGAGTGAGACTCCAACTCAAAAAA